AACTCACTTTTTAGTCCTAGAAAGGGTCTTTTTGTTTGTTTTTGGTAGATTTTGGGGGGTTAGCTATGTAGACAATCCTGCCGTCTACCCACAGAGGCAGTTTTATTTCTTCCTTTCTAATTTTTATGCCCTTTTCTGTCGTTCTTGTCTTATTGTAGTGGTTAGAACTTCTGGTCTTATTAAGAGTGGTGAGGACATATATCCTTGTTTCATTTCTAATCTTAGGGAAGAGATATTTGGTATTTCACTATTAGGTATGATGTGAGATGCAGAGTTTCAGTAGACACTCTTTATACGTTTGGGTCTACTACGTTGCTTGATTTCCACTTGTTGGAAGATTTTGTGGTTCTTTTCTGTCATTCATTTCCATTTTTATTCTATCATGGTTGGAGAACATATTGTGTGATTTAAATTATTTTGTACCTGTGAAGGTTTGTTTTATAGCCCAGGAAAGTCTGGAAATAGTCTGTTGTGGTGAATGTTCTGTGCACGCTTGGAGAGATGGTGTCTGTTGCTGATGGTGGAGGGTCCTGGGAAAGTCACTTAGATCCATTGCTCAGCATGTCGTCCAGCGATTCCCCATCTGTGTCTGTTTTCTGTGTAACAGCTTCATCAGTTGCTGACAGCGCGGTGGGTGCTGGAGTTTCCAACTAGTATTGTGGATTGATTCCCAGGGTTCTCTTTTTTCCCTCGGCTTTATGATTCCCACGGTTTTGAAATAACACGTTCACATATTATGGAGCTTGCGTTCTTTAGTGTTCTTTCAAAATTTCTCTGACCATCCTCATAGGCTTATCTCCTCATGTAAGCTTGAGAATGAGCTTAGCTAGTAAACACAATAAAAATGAATTCAGCATTTTTATCAAAACTATGTCGAACTTCCGGACACATAAAAAGTGAACAAATAAATAACTACAAATAACATACATGAAAAATAAATATATAAATAACATTCATGATACTGAGAGTCTGAAAATAGGGTTTGCATTGTAGTGTTATTTGAATCTTGTGTTATCTTACTCATTAGAGCTTGAAAATGTGTTTATGTAAGTTCTGCAATTTTTTGCTTGGCTTGTTGCGAGGTACCCCTTTTTTTTTCTATTTACGAACAAGATCTGTTACTCTATTTTCTTACTAATGGTTGGCCTTGGCTGTTGTAAAGCTCTTTTTAAATTTTTTTTTCAACATTTATTTATTTTTGAGAGAGAGAGAGAAAGAGAGAGAGAGAGAGAGCATAAGCAGGGGAGGGGTAGAGAGAGAGGGAGACACAGAATCCGAAGCAGGCTCCAGGCTCCGAGCTGTCAGCACAGAGCCCGATGGGGGGCTTGAACCCACGAACTGTGAGATCGTGACCTGGGCCGGTTAACCTACTGAGCCACCCAGGCGCCCTTGTAAGGTTCTTGATTCATATTGTCAAAGGCTTTCTAGAATCACTGTATGTGTGCATTATCCTGCTCCAAGCCTCCTCACATGGTAGGGTCGTTGGGCATGATGGAAACTCTCAAAGCTCCCCTGAATGACTTTCCATGTCCCATTAAAGTAAAAGCCCGAGTGCTCACGATGGCTATGCTGTCTGGCTCCCGGATGCACTTTCTGGCTTGTCTCCCATGGCTTCCCCGCATGCTGTCGACCATGGCAGCCATCTTGGCCTTCCTGGAAAATGCTCAGCACACCCTTGCATCAGGACCTTTGCGCTGGCTCCTCCCTCTGCTTCGACTGTCCCTGAGCCAGCAGCACGGGTCGTCCTCTCGTCTGTACCCGTGTTGCCCTAACAGCGAGGCCTCGCCAGGCCAGCTCACCTGGAAGGGCAGCTCTTCCCTTGTCTCCTTCACCTTCTTTGTAAAACAGCACTTACTGATACACGAAACGCCACGTAGTTTATTTATGTTTTCTCTCCCCACCGGAATGTAAGCTCCACGAGGCCAAACACTTGGCCTTGTGTCTAACGCCACATCGTCCATGTCCAGCGGTGCCCATTCCACGGCTGTGCTCAGTAGGTCTGAGTGGAAAGAATGAATGGTATCCCTCACTTTGCTGGCTTGAAAAAGGGTGACACCCCCCCCCCCCCGCCCCGGGGGGTGTAAAACTCCATGTTGCCTCAGGTGGCCCCATGCAGGATGCCCCTGCTTTCCCTTCTCACGCGGGAGGGGCTCTGGGCCTTGAAAGGAGAAGAGAGGACAGGATGTGCGAACTGGGGTCCGAGGACAGTATGGCACGTGCGCAGGGGGTCGGACTGGCACACAGATGTCAGGAAGCACCGTGAAATCGCTTCCTTTTCTCTGTCTGGGAAGCACGTGTCTGGGTATAGACCCAGCACTCAACTTCTGCGTCTGTGAAGGGGGCTGTCAGAGCTTCCCAGAAGGGAGAAGGGCATTTCTGAGGGGCAAGAGGCTGCGCGTGATGGGGGAAGCCCAGGGGCCCTGCAGCCTCTCTGCCTCTTCCCTCTTTACTGGAACAGAAAGGAGTCCTCATGGTCTTTGAGCCAGGCTGGCTGTTGGGTCAGGTTGGACAAGCGTCCTCCGGGGCTGTCCTCCAGGGACAGAAACCACGGGTTAGGAGAGGCGCAGGTCGATGTCCAAGGATGAGTTGGATCATTTCCTAGAAAGATTCTCGTCGACAGGCCATTAGCACCACTTCCCCTTCCTGGAAACTACTGACCCGATGCTCCTCCATCCGATGGAGGAAAACAGCTGAGAACCATTGATCGTCAATCCTGGTTCCTCACCTACCATTTTGTACGACAGTTTCCAAGGTGACAGCTCACTGATGGCCACCTAGCAATGCTCTAGGCTGCTCCCTGGGACTCGGGAGCCACGAGCCTTATCAAAACAAACCTGCTAATGGTTCTTTTGGATGGTGACTCCTGTTGGGAAAACTGGGCCGTGGCCTCTTCCTCCCCTCGGTTGTTGAACCTTGTGTGTCTGCGTCTCCCAGGGCGAGCACGTTATTTTTCACATCCTAAGACTGCATTCTCTACACAGCGTCTATCACGATTCTGACTGTGTATCAGGTTTGGTACTTATGACCCCCTCTGTCAGCTCACTTTACAGCGCACTGCCTCAAACATCTTTGTACATTCTGACATTTACTTTCCCCTTAGGGGGATACTTCTAAAATGGGATTACTGAACCAGAAAGAATTTGAACAGGTCCTTTCACATATTGTGAAATTATTTTTCTGAAAAACTACCATTTTTCAATGCTACTGGCAATATCCTTGTTTCCAAACGACGTACTATTTATGTGTGTTTTTGTTAATTTAGCTGCGTTGCCTAAGAAAATATTGAGACATAAATATACGTGCCTTCCTCTCGTTCCTCTGTTGAAGTAGAATTCATTGCCTGCTCTGCTCAGCGTCCGGCCCCGAACCAAGGTAAACGGGATGGAGGAGCTGAGACCAGAGGGACTGACTTGCGGAGAGAGGGCACAGAGGTAGCCGTAGAAGAAACTAATTCTGAACAAAAGAGAAAAGGCATTCGGAGGTAGAACAGGTGAAGAAGGAGGAGAGTCAGGGAACCAGCGTTGGAAGAGATTTATTTCTTTAAGCTTTAGGAGTAATCGCTGCTATGCCGAGTGCAGTGTTGAGGGAGCAAGGTGTAGAAATGAGATACCGAGGAAATCTGCCTGTGTGTTCTAGATGCAACTTCGTTTTAAATGTAGTTAAGAAAGACATAAACTTCACCCTGACTGCCACACTCTTTGGCGTCCGTGGTATAAACAAAAAGGAGTATATCCCTATAGAGTTAAAACGAGCTTCAAAATACCCATTTGAATTTAAAAGGATATGGTAGAGAACATGTGATATCTTAATAATACCCACTGGGGAAATAACACAGTTTTGAACCCCGGGTGTATTAGATGGGGAACCAGAGTTACAGGGTTAAGTCAGTTCATTGGTTTGAAGTCTAAATTAATTCCCCTATAGGTCAGACTTTGTTTTTTTAACCCAGCTTCCAAGGAAATACAATTTCTTGATAAGTTAGAGTCTTTCGTGGAAGGAGAAAGGTTTGGGGGGAGACTTTCGTCCTTCCCGCCACCTGAAATGGGGCCTCCTGGGGACTGAGTGGCTGTTGTGCGCACCATCGAATGAATACCAAACCACAGTTTGAGGCCATGTGCTGCCAGGAACAAGAAAAACTCATGGCGGGAGGTGGTAGAGGGGGATCCCGAGCTGTTGTAAGAGCCCCCACCCCCACCCCCACCCCCGAAGCTTACAGGTTGGCCGACCTGGGGGGTAAAGAAGTCTCAGGGATTAGGTGTGACTTTTCGAGTTCCCGGTTTCCCTTCCCCCCCGGAGTGTCACAGACTTGATGAAGCAGAACTTCCCAGGACGTGGGAAGGGCAGGGGACCCTAGCAGTGATCGGAGTAGAGCGACATCTGGTGGCACCAGGGAGGAACGAGGAAACAGAGCCTCTTCTTCTCAAGAGGCACCAGATGTTTGTCCGACAGGTAGACCGTATTTTCCATTAGGACTGCTATGAATTTCAAAAATATAAGTGAAACCAAACTTTGGCAGACTCTTGAGCCAGAGAACACCACCCTGCGGGGTGGCAGAGAGAAGCCACCAGAGCCCAGTGAGAGCAAGGTGGCACCAAGGACGAGGATGAACTTTGACCTTGACGGGACCCTGAGGGACCCGAGTAGGTTTGTTTTTCCAATTGGATGTTTCAGACCTCGTTAAAAGATCACAGTAATTTCCCTGGGGAGACCTGTGGCGGGGATCAAACCTCAAGTGTTAGGAATTGGCCATCTGGGGGCGCCTGGGTGGCGCAGTCGGTTAAGCGTCCGACTTCAGCCAGGTCACGATCTCGCGGTCCGGGAGTTCGAGCCCCGCGTCGGGCTCTGGGCTGATGGCTCAGAGCCTGGAGCCTGTTTCCGATTCTGTGTCTCCCTCTCTCTCTGCCCCTCCCCCGTTCATGCTCTGTCTCTCTCTGTCCCAAAAATAAATAAACTTTAAAAAAAAAAATAAAAAAAAAAAAAAAAAAGAATTGGCCATCTGCCTCATCCGGGTCCCTTGTGGGGAAATTCCTTGTTTGTGCTGCTCAGTCGTGCGGATCGATATAATCTCAGGAGAGGGTAGATCAGCGTGATGCAAGGTGAGTTCTGGAGTGCATTGGAAGGCGGTTTGAGGACACGTAAAAGATTTTTCAGATACTTATGGTGAAATGTTGTCCACACTAACAACAGCAACAAAAACTAAAAAGCAAAAAAACAATAGTTAATACAAGTTTTTGCTAATGCAAGTTTAACACGTACTTTTAAAGGGGGATTTTCAGACCTTAGTTAATTAAATTTCCTAGACACTTCCAACTGCATTTATAAATGTAATTTCCAGGGGCGCCTGGGTGGCTCAGTCGGTTAAGCATCTGACTCTTGATCTCTGCTCAGGTCATGACCTCACAGTCCGTGGGTTCGAGCCCCACATTGGGCTCTGCTCTGGCAGCATGGAGCCTGCCTGGGTTTCTGTCTGTCTCCTTCTCTGCAACCCCCTCAAAATAAATAATCTTTAAAAATTAAAAAAAATATGTGTGCATCCCAGGAAACCGTCGGGCTAATAAATCTTCTCATGTACTGAAGCAATCACGAATTAAATAAATTCCACTTACAAATATGGTGCCTGCTACATTCTGCGCGGTGATGTTTACCAACAGCACAATTCTCTTACAACTTCAACTCAAAGCCACAATTCTGCCGGGCAAACACCCCCTCCGCCATCTAGTGGTTTGGTTTATTTAACTGATCACCCAGCACCCATTCAAGAAAAAAGATGGGGTGCTATGATTTCTCTCAATTAACAGTTTGCGAAATACCCAGAGCATCAAGTGGGCTGGTAGGATCCCTTGCTGCCGCTGACAGTGCTTGCTCTGGGTTCACTCAAAGAAGCTTCCTGTGGAAGGTTTGGAGCTCTGACACAGTTAGGATGCGCGGCTCTCTAGCATCCCCTGACTCCCGGCGAGGTGAGTGCCAATGGCACACCACTGGCCGTTCTTACAAATGCAGAAATACCACTTAACTTTTTCGGAATTTGGTGACTCTATGGGCTTTATTTTTGTAATACCAGGCAGAAAAATGAGGGCTTGTATGAATTATTAAAGGGAGAGTAAAATGAGAACCACAATGAAAAGAAATTGAGCCATCGCTTCTATATTATCAGATTGAACCCGTGGAGTATCAGGAAAACGATGCTGTTTTCGAGAAAATATGCCAATCATTTGGAGTCTTTGGAGTTCTTTCCTTAGAATATGATAAAAATTTTTTCTTAGTTAGAAAATTTTTCAGAGAATTACGTGCAAGACACATATTAGAGCTCAAATAAATATTGATTGTCTCCTCCCAAAACACCTTCTACAATCCTAAATCATTTTATTTATTACATTTTATTTATTACACATTGAAAAATGCCATTCTCGTACTGAATTTATTAGGTACTTACATATCCAAACTATCTTAAATATTACCAATATCCAAAGTACCAAATATACAAAGATTATTTCTCAGTGTAGTAGAGAAATATTAACAATATGTGTTTTCTTTACTTTGGTGGATCAATTCTTACTTCTCTCTTTAACTGGGCTAAAGCCCCTGATCCACGAAAGAAACAATTTTAGCATTTTGATGGAATTTGGAATTACTAAATATTAGGAATTTGACTAATTGCTAGTCACAGAAACCTGAGTGATGACGGCGGGAAAGTGTTAAGAATTTATCTTTATTTCACCTGAAAAACATCTATTCCTGTAAAAACAGAATCTTCACAAAGAGGGTCGCAGTCTGACTGAGTCACGCAGGGTCCCGTCCACTTTGGGTTCAACCCTTCACCGATGGTATTGTCTTCTTCCTCCTGAATGTGACGCCTTTGTCATCCTCAGTGTCCTGAGCTCCCTCTAGCTTTCTTTTCCATCACCCTTAGCACACAGTTTCCATCCTAAGGGTCGCCTTCAGGATGCAGGCACAACATTCCCATGGGAGGTAGAGGAAGGAGGGACACCATTCCTGGCCACTTCTGTCTGAGGGGGAGCCAGTGGGAAACCCGGGTGTGCCTCTGTCACATCACTGCCCCTCGCTGTCACTGTTTTCTGGGCGCGGCAGCCTCTGCCACACCCTGCCGACCCCTGTGGCTCTCTGGTATAGGTGGACTGACCGTGCGTGTAGGACATCCGAGGTTGCAGACCTCTAGGGTGACTTCTTTCAAAACTGTGACAAAGAAGTTGACCTCTGTTTTATAGTCTCCATGCCAGTAGAGACTTCAAGTCTCTACTAGAGACTCTTTCTTGCTCATTGTCCCTGATGCAAATTACAACCTGACAAAATTTCAAGCCTGGTTTGAGCCTATGATCCTCCGCCCACTCGTCCCCCATCAGGTCTCTTTGCCATTAGGTTGGACCTAACTGATTGTATTCCAAACCCTCTTCACAGTGTCATGTGGTAGGAACACAATACACACAGATACTTACACAACATATGGCTGTAAGCAGCATATCTTACATGCTGGCTTCTGGATCTCAGGTCAGAGCTTCTAGGGTCTTTCCAATGAAGAAAGGAGGCTTGAAGGTACCCAAAGAGAAGATCAAGAAGAAAGTTCTAGAAGGTGAGAGGAGGGGTCAGAGAAGTAAGGAGATTGGGATAGAAGTCTAGGGTGAGATCAGAAAACTGGAGATGGGGAAGCAAACAAAAGAGCTTGGGTGAGCAGATGCTATGATGAACTCTGTCAAGAGAGATCTCTGGGGAGAATTCTGGAAGTTTTTTGTGTGCTCTGTGTTGCAATATCCATCACCCACACTGGTCACCTCCTCAAGAGACAGTCAGTAAGGCCTGGGTTACTGTTCAGTACTTCTGAATTTCTGTATGTTTTGAAAGTGCTACCTTGCCAAAATGGATATTGAAAGACAGCAGAGACCTAATTTGTCGGGGTTCAGCAGTGTCATGACTTGTGATACCCAACATCTGTTTTAGGGAATTCAGTGAGGACATAGTTGTATGTGGTAGACTCCTCACTTCCAGATAAGTTGTGGGAAAGTCAAGACTCATGTCTGCTTCGTGGTCAGAGCTCTAGGCAACAATAGGCTGACAGAAATTCTCCATTCCACCAAGGCATAGAAGTAGGTTAGAGATGGCTGGGTGGGGAACCAAGAAACAAAGAGTCTGTCCATCAGCAAACATTTATTGAGCAGGTATTATATTTCAGGTATTATTCTACACAGTGAGAACAATGGTGAACGAGATAGATGGCATCCTTTCTCTTAAGGAGCTTGTATTTAGTAAGCCTGAGGCAGCCTACCAAGTGTCCTGAAGGGGCTACATTGGAGACGAGGAGGGGAAGTGCATGTAATGATGACCGGAAACCTTGAGAGACACCAACATGGAGGGATGATCTTGCTTGAAGGCCAAATGGCACGGTCCAGATATCTACATGGATAGAAAGTGTCTATTGAGAACCAGATCCCCAACATGTGCCTTTCTGCGCTGGATCCTACACACGCCTGATCCTGGAATCCTTCTCAGGGATAAGTGGTAGGGGGAAACATTGGGTCAAATGAGAAAACTCTGATAGAGCTGAAATTGACCTGAATTAGCAAGACTGAAGTCGATTAATTTATTTGGCAGGAGGCAGAATGGAGACTAGAGATGGAAATTAAACTAATAAAACTTATGAGAAAATTATTATTGTCGTACACTTTAGTTTATGACTTATTATATGTTTATTCAGTATACCTGGTTATAAATCTAATTGAATTGGCACCATCTGGAAATCACTTTGGTGTCTGTATGTGGCATGTTAATTAAGATTAGTGTTTGGATTGTCATTAAAATATATTCTAGGAGATATTGATGATCAGATCATTAGCAAGTTTTCCATGTGACTTTGGATTGAATGAATCCAGTATTAAAAAAAACTCAGTTTTATGCTTTGACAACTTAAGGATCACTGCAGATGTGAGAATGTTTTTTAATTTTTCAGTGTGATTCAGGTCAAGTTGAATAACAAAGTGAGGATTACATTGTGGAGATTTTTAGAGGTAGAGTTATAACCAAGGTAGGTGTAGGAAATATCAATGATGCTCTTGCTTCAGGACTGATATCTTGATCTGAATATACATGAAACACGTGGCTTCAATGTAAGGCTGGGAATGATGAGTAGATGCCAGGTTTGGGCTTCATCAGGGTTTGCACTGAGATTAAAAGAGTCCAGATTCAGATGTTCACTTTACTGCCTTCTTGAGGGTGTGTTGAGGCAAAGACAGTCAAAAGGTGGGATGTCACATAATCAAATACCCATAACTTTGGGGTCAGGTTGAGGGAGCAACTCAAGTTGCCTACCATGGGTTCAGGCTTAGAGAAGACCAGGAAATGGGCTGATAAGGAATGGAAATAGAAACAAGTCATGGGATAAGGGTTGGAGGAAAGGAAAGTGTTAGAAAGTTCAAGAAAGAGGGGCTGCATTCAGAGGTTTAGGTGGTGGCATTTAAGGTTTTAGAGAAGCAGATCTGGGTAACGATGGGGCCCGAGCCATAGGACTTGGAGGGAGTGAAGGTGGGAGTTTCAGAAGTTGGGTTTAGGGGATTGAGAAAAGGCTATCAGTAAGAGGCTTATCCAGATGAGGGAGATAGGATGGGGCTTGGGGTGGGCAATCCCAAAGCCGTGTGGCTGTAGACAGTTGGATGGAGAATACTGACGTCTGACACACATCAGAGGCGAGAAGTCACCAATAACAAGGAGCTTGTTTCCTTTTGGAGTTTTATCAGGTCTTTCGTTCAAGTGTTTAATTCATTTTGAGTTTTTTTTTTTTTTTTTTTTTTTGTACAGTGTAAGATAGCCATCTTGTTTCGTTCCTTTGCCTGTGGTTGTCCAGTTTTCCCAACACCATTTAAGAGACTATTTTTTCCCTGTTGTGTATTCTCTGGCCCCTTGATGAAAATTAATTGACTATATATGCATGGGTTTATTCCTGGGTGCTTATCTGTTCCCTTGATCTATGTGTTTATTTTCAGCCAGCACCTTTCTGTTTTGATTACTACAGATTTGTAGTATAACTTGATATCCAGGATTGTGATAGCTCCAGCTTTTTTCTTCCTTCTCAAGATTGTTTTGGTTTTTGATTTGTGTGTGTGTGTGTGTGTGTGTGTGTGTGGTTCCATACAAATTTTAGGATTCTCTGTTGTAGTTATGTGAAAAATACTGTTGGTATTCTGATAGGGATTGCATTAAATGTGTAGATTCCTTTGGGTAGCATAGAAATATTTACAATATTAATTCTTCCAGGGGCACCTGGGTAGCTCAGTCGGTGAAGCGTCAACTTCAGCTCAGGTCATGATCTCGCACTTTGTGGGTTCAGGCCCCATATCAGGCTATGTGCTGACCGCTTGGAGTCTGGAGCCTGCTTTGGATTCTATGTCTCCCTCTCTCTCTGCCCCTCCCCCGCTCATGCTCCGTCTCTCTCTCTCTCTCTCTTTCTCTCGAAAATAAAATAAACATTAAAAAAGTTAATTCTTCCAATCCACAAGCATGGAATATCTTTTCATTGTTTGTGTCTTCTTCAGTTTCTTCAGTCAGTGTCTTATCGTTTTCAGAGTATAAGTCTTTCACCTCCTTGGTTAAATTTATTCCTAGGGCTTTTTTTTTTTTTTTTTTTTTTTGGTGCAGTTGTAAATGGAACTGTTTTCTTAATTTCTCTTTCTTCTACTTTGTTATTAGTGTATGGAAACAACAGATTTCTGTATATTAATTTTGTATTCTACAACTTTACTGAATTCATTTATTAGTTCTAATAGTTTTTTGGTGGAATATTTAGGGTTTTCTATGTAGAGTATTATGTCATTTGCAAATGGTGACAGTTTTACTTCTTTATTTCCAGTTTGGATGCCATTTATTTATTTATTTATTTATTTATTTATTTTCTTGCCTAATTGCTCCATGGGACCATGGAACTTCCAGTACTATGATGAATAAAAGTTGCAAGAGTGGACATCCTTGTTTTTTCTTGATCTTAGAGGAAAATCTCTCAGTTTTTCACCATTGAGTATGATACTAGCTGTAGGTTCATCATAAATGGCCTTTATTATTTTGAGGTGTGTTCCTTCTAAACCCACTTGGTTGATAGTTTTTATGATGTTGATAGTTTTATGAGTGGTTGTTGAATTTGCCAAATGCTTTTTCTGTATCGATTGACATGATCATATGGTTTTTTATCCTTCATTTTATTAATGTGATACACCACGTTGATGGATTTGCAGATATTGAACCATCCTTGCATTGTGGGAATAAATCCCACTTGATCATGGTGACTGATCCTTTTTAAAAAAATTTTTTTTAATGTTTATTTATTTGAGAGAGAGAGAGAGAGAGAGAGAAGGAGGCAGGGAGGGAGACAGAGTATGAACAGGGGGAGGGTCAGAGAGAGAGACACACAGAATCAGAAGCAGGCTCCAGGCTCTGAGCTGTCAGCACAGAGCCTGACACAGGGCTCAAACTCGAACTGTGAGATCATGACTTGAGCTGAAGTCGGACGCTTTACCAACTGAGCCACTCAGGCACCCTGTGACTGATACTTTTAATGTATTGTTGAATTTGGTTTGCATTTTTATTTTTTGAGGATTTTTGTATTTATGCCCATCAGGAATATTTGCCTGCAGTTTTCTTTCTTCTTCTTCTTCTTCTTCTTCTTCTTCTTCTTCTTCTTCTTCTTTTTTTTTTTTTTTTTGGTAGTGTCTTTGATTTTGGTATCAGGGTAATGCTGACCTCAAAAAGCATATTTGGAAGCTTTCCCTCTTCTATTTTTTGGAATAGTTTGTGATGAATAGATATTAGCTCTTCTTTAAATGTTTAGTAGAATCCACCTTTGAAGCCATCTGATCTTGAACTTTGTTGGAGAGGTGGCATTTTTTTGCCCCTCCTTCTGCACTGAGCCTGGGGTGGGAGGACATAGCAGTAGAAGGTGCTTGTGTACCGATTTAGCAGCTGCCTCTCTGTTTGCTATAGTCCTGCGGGTCTTA